GAGAAGGAAAGAAAGCCATGAAGCCATGCAGGTTTACAGTCTGCATGGGGGGCCTGGGGGGAGGGAGTTAAACACGTGGATGATTGACAGCCACATGGCTGGTAGAAGGAAGCTTTAGAGAAAAGGTAAAGAATTTCATGATGCTAGGGGCAGCCCAAAACCTTAAAGAAAGCATGTTTAGAAAAGGGATATGGAGAAGAAAAGGAAAGATTACCCTTAAAAGTGGACAGACTTTCAGAGGATGGTGTGATAAGAATAGGAGATAGGAATTGGCTAGGCAGTTAGGGTAAAAGACCCCAAAGAAAAGTAGCCAATTCTTGGCTAAAAGTCAAAATGTCCTTGGGCCTCTTAGCAATATACTCTGTTCCAAAGGCTAAAAATGTCAAAAGTATTTGGGAGCTCCTATCTAACCCCTAAAAGATTTTAGGGTTACCTCTTCAGAGGGGGGAATGTTAGAGTGCAAAAAGCACCATCCATAAAGAAAGAGTACACAAAGTTGTCAGAAAAAAGTGATGGGGAGATATGGGAGGAGTTGGAGGGGAAGGAGTGGGTGTGGATTTGATCAAAACACATTATATGCACATGTAAAATTCCCAATAAAGGTTCTCTCAAAAAAGGTTCTCTCCCATAAGTAGATGTTAGATTTGAATTTTTAGGTAGTTGTGTTTTAATTGGAAAATCCTTAGAGGTTAGGAAACTAATAAGTGCCATAAGGGATGGTTCAAAGGAGGGGAGATAGTTGCATCAATATAAATGGGAAAGGAAAGTAATAGATAGGCTGGGTTTAATGGAGCGAGGAATGGGAGGAAAGGGCAGAAGATGGAGTAAGAGGAGGGATAACTAACACTAAAGGCCTTTTGATAGAGTTTTTTGGAAACCTGCTATTGAAGGGTCTCTCAGTATATACACATAGAGCTTAAAAAGAGTTTAAAGATAGGTACCCTATAATGGGGGTTCAGTGGCCTTAATAGACTGGCAAATGAAAAGCCCAGTGTTAAGAATGGACTCCCTCTTTTGCAGAACTGGACAATAAGACCTTATTTCTGAAGACACTACATATCTGAGTTGCTGAACAAATGAGAAATCAAGCTTGTACAGACTTTGAAGCTGGTCTTTGCAGGCTAGCTTTCCTAGTACTAGAAGGTTCTCCACATGTTACTGAGAGAAGAAGGTAATCATCAACCTCGCTCAGCTGTGAACCCTGTCACCTGCAGTGGCAACAGCTTGGCAAAATAAACCCAGTGGTGTAATAGTGGCACAAATATTTTGGGAGTAGCCAATGATGCTAATTGGATTTAAGGCCCACTTTACAAGATGGAGTCCACACCTCACACTGTTGTCAGGACAAGAACTTGTGCCTAGGACAATACAGGCCATCGGGGGGAACCTACTATCATTCTGCTAAATAGACGTAATAAACTGACTCACAATGACTTATTGCTATACCCATAGATCAGTGCATCCCTCAACTCTCACCAGAAAAGTTTCTTACAGCAGATGGTGACTAATACAGAGACCCACAAATAGTCAACAAGCAGAATAAAAGAGGACCACAGAGTGCTCAGACCTAAACAGGACACCTATGTCTCTTGTTCTCCTCCGAAGGCTCATGGATCATTGTGAAAAAAGGGGATGGGAAGATTGTAAGAGGCGGTAAATGGACACAAGGAAACTTCTGTGATACCACTGGAAACCATATGAACCCACAGTGCTTATGACAGCCTGCACAAGACTTGTGCAAACCCAAACCAGACAGGGTCCTGGCATGGATCGGGGAGGTGGGCAGGAAGCCCCAGCTCTTGCTGATGGATGCTGGAGATGGAGAGGCAGTTTTCCTTACTGATATGATGCATGATAGGTTGACCAGACTCCAGGGCATGGACCCACACCCAGGAGTATGTTGGAGGCATGGATTGGAATTGACAGGTCTTAAAAAAAACAATAAATAAATAAGCAGGAAATATAGTAATGGAGGACATAAAATTGGCGGGGGGCGGTTAGTGGAGAAGGGTTAGTGAAGGAGGAGGCAGTCTGAATGTGATCAAAATACACTATATGAAATTCTGGAACTAATAGAAATTATAAAACTGTTACATCTTATTTAAGGCATGGATTGGAATTGACAGGTCTTAAAAAAAACAATAAATAAATAAGCAGGAAATATAGTAATGGAGGACATAAAATTGGCGGGGGGCGGTTAGTGGAGAAGGGTTAGTGAAGGAGGAGGCAGTCTGAATGTGATCAAAATACACTATATGAAATTCTGGAACTAATAGAAATTATAAAACTGTTACATCTTATTATTTTGTACATGTGTGTGTGTGTGTGTGTGTGTGTGCGTGTACACATGCGTGCATGCCCCTGAGGGCGGGTGCTCACGGAAATCAGAAAAAGGCACTGAATCTCCTGTAGCTGGCTAACATCAGGCAACTGTGAGCCAACTGATGGTGGTGCTGGGAACCAAACTCAGGTCCTCTGCAAGAAGCAAGAAGTACTCTTAATTACTGAGCCATCTCTCCAGTCCTCTTTATTTTTATTACTTGTTTCCAATTACTTTTTTGTGTTATTTACAGCTTTCCTCATTTCTTTAATTGTTGATGTTTATTTTCTTCAGGTTTTTTGAGCTGACTTAGAATATTTAGTGGAATTTTTCATGTAGTTCATACATCTCCAACTCTTTAGAGTCTGTCATAGTCACTTTGTTTCTGTGGTGATGTCATGTTTTCTTGACTGTTCTTGAGCCTTGTGGATGTTTACTGATATCCTCACACTTGACAATGTGGTTATTCTAGACTCTTTGTAGACTGACTCTATCTAGAAGAACTCAACTCTAAGTTAGTTTAGAATTCTGGACAGATCATCTGTCTGGCCACGTAACACTGAGGGACGTCCTAGCCCAAGATATCCGCAGTTAGTGTGGTTCCAAGCTAGAATCCCCCAGCCTCTGAGGCTGGTTCAAGGTTGGGGTACATCCGAAGTTCTGTGACTGCCGAGGCCTTCCTGCTACTGAGGCCTCTCTGGAGTTCTAGGTTAGTGCATTTGGCTGGCAGTGATGTGGACTGAAGATTGAGTTCATCTTATAGTGGTGACTGGCTACCTCAGGTGCTCAGTTCCTAGACCAGCTGTGGGTCCTTTCAGTGCTGGGTTATACTGTGGTGGATCTGGTGTTGGAGTTCAGACCTGTGGATCTGTGTTTACTTCTCTTTCTCTTAGGTGAACAGTATCTGTCTATATTATAGTGCCTGAGGTTGGGGGAGATGGCACAGATAATGTAAAACTGTCCTTCCTACTCCTTTTAAATGATGCTATTACTGGGTGTCATGTTCTCTTATGAAGACATTTTAAAAATTTTTAATTACATGTTAATCCTTTTTCTTTCCTCGTGTGTGTATGTGTGTGTGTGTGTGTGTGTGTGTGTGTGTGTGTGACTATATGTGTGGAGATCAGAGGACAACTTTCAGGAAATGGTTCTCTCCTTCCACCATATTGGTTTTGGGGATTGAACTCAGGTCATCAGGCTTTCTGGAAGGCACCTTTACCCCCTGAATCATCTCACCAGTCCATGAAGGTATTACGTATGGACCAGTAACTGGAAAGTCCTATTCCTCTCTCGTACTTCTGATGAGCTCATTTTTTCTATTTGAATTGTCTTCCCATCTTTAAACTCCCAAACCACCAATCTCCTGTTCAGAGTTTTTACAACATTCTGTTATCTTTATTTTACAATGGAAAAAACATTCTCTCTCCTGCCCTATTTCTGGTTTTCATACTTCTCTTACTGTGTGAATCACACAGTCATGATTCGTTAACTGTTTCTTCCTTCTCCTAAAATAAAAACTCCTGTCATCAGGTGCCTCATTAATCTTTGACACTTGAAAGTTTAATACATTCACTGCACACTGCACACAGTAGACATCTGGAAAGGACCTAAGAACTGAAGCCTGTGGAATCAAGAAATCTTTAAAAAAATTTTGCTTTATTTAATTTTTAAAAATTTTATTTGTGTGTATTGCGTGCATGTAAGCATGTACACTTGCGTTGTGCAATGCCCGAGGGGGACAGAAAAGGATATTGGATCCGCTGGAACTGGAGTTAGGGATGGTTGTTAGTCACCATGTGGATGCTGGAATTCGAACCCAGGTCTTCTGCAAGAACAGCCAGTGCTCTTAACTGCTGAGTCATCTCTCCAGCCCAGATTAAGAAATCTTAATCAGCAGTAGTAGACAATAATTGGAATGGCATCTTGAGAGACAGGATAGAAAACAGGGAAACAGAAGACACAACAGTGCTTTTAAAAGTACTAGTGTTCCTTAGCATGACACACACTGCTGAGTAAAACTATCTGTGTCATGTTCCATTTCAGAAGAGTAAATTGAATGCAAGACAGACTCCTGGGAAATTTTTCACATGGAAAGGCAGCTTGCTTTGAGAAAGGATCAAACAGATGATTCAAACAGTGAGAAGTAGGCATCAGGAGGATAAAGGGAAAGGAAAACACCAGAGACTGTAGGGCAGAAAGGAACTTTAATGAGGGCGGGAAAAGTCAAGTGACAAGGGGCTCTGAAGTGGTGACCTTTTGATTCTTTCTTTGTTAAAGTTGAAGCTAGTTCAGGGAGAAGGATGCAGAGTAAGAAGTGGACTTTTTACTCATAGGGAAGTAAATTTTCCTCTGAATTACATATAATGCTTCAAAAGTTATCCTGTGCTCTATAGATCACAAGTGGGTTTTGTGGTCTATTCTAAAAGTTCTGCTCTGGAGAGTTGACAGCTATTCAGAGTGTCTAGACAGCAAATGCTCCCTGTAGTTACAAAGGGAACAGCTCTTCCTTCGGAGCCTGGTAGATATGTGCGTAGACGCTTCTTAAACATTTAGGGAAGTATTCAGTGGTTGTGAATTTCCTTTTGCATAAAATCCATGCTGTGCATTGCGTAGCAGTCTTGCTACACAGAAACATCACCTGGTCAGGGGTCAGCACTGATGAAACTTACGATTTCCAGCTTCAAAAATTGCTCTCCACGATGTCTGTAACAGTTTCTGAACTTTCACCATGTTTTGTACCCTGGGGGGAAAATTACACACTTAATAATTACATAATCCTTCTTAAATACATAGTTTATAAAATACAGGCCATAGTAATACATAGTAATACATAGTTTATAAAATACAGGCCATGTTGGTGTCTCTGGAAAAAGACCCACGCTGTTGGTATCAATCTGTTCTATGTCTCATTCCCAGCCCAATCTACTTTCTTCTTTAATTCCTATTGTATTCTTTATAACTTTTGGTATACTTCCTGACTGAAAAAGAACCCATGGCCTTCTTGAACATAAACACATATACCAGCACTCCAAAATTCATCCTATCTGTGTGAGATTCCCTAAGGGTTACTCATCCCCCTGCCCAGGTGTCATTTTGGCTTTTGGGAATCAATTATTTTTCCCTTTCTTTCTAGTTTTACCAAGTAAACTTGCATCCATAAACACTAGGGTTCAGTTGTAGTTTTTCCTGGTTTGAAAGTCCCTCTGAATAGATTGAGAAAGTACGCATTTTTACAAAGACTGATAAGAAACTTATTCTTTAAAGTAGTAAAGCCACCACCCTATAAATTTGTCAGAGCAAACTGGGACTAAAGGCACACATGGGCATATTAAAATCATAGGAAGAAAACTGGCCTGAGAACTTAGGAAGCACACCAGAGGGAGGAAAGGCATAACACCCTCACCTGGGCCCCTTATTGAAGTCTGTGATAGTGAAGCCCTTTACGAACTTGTCATCTGACCACTTGGCATGTATGGCAGGGGACTGATGGCCCAGAGAATTCCAAACTGTCCCAGGGCCTTCAGGTTTGTTTGATTTCCACTGTTGATATGGCCTACTCATATCATCTTTCATTTGCTTGCCCATTCCCAGTGGACTTGCTGTTCATTAGTCTGCTCTTTCATGACCTGGTCCTGTCTTTGCCTCTAAGGTCTCAGGGTCCCATACCTTACACCTGCAGTTTGACTCAACTCTGAGCTTGGTTCAACTCTGACCCAGAGTTCTGATTCTGTAGCAGCAGCACCTCTAGCAGACTTCTAACAGGATTGGTTATCTGACCCTGTTGAGACCCCTGTTGAGTTCTCATTTCTGCCTCTCTTAGGCTTCTTTGAAACTCCTTGAACTTTGCTGTGGCCATTCTGTGCCTTATGTGTGTGTGTGTGTGTGTGTGTGTGTGTGTGTGTGTGCATGTACGCATGTGTATGTTATACTCATTTACAATGTGTAATGCACACTCTGAAAATTAATATTAATAGTTAAGATTGGAACAAAAGAACTTGTGTTTGCCTTGGTTGGCTATCAAAGAAACTGGGACTGCTTGGTAAATTGCTGTGAATGTTAACCATCATTCCTTGTGAATTTATTGTTATTCAATAAATTCCGATATTGTAGAAAGACACAGGTACGTTTATCAAAGTTTCTGACATAGCATGCTTGTGACACCGCAATTCCAGAATTTGGGCTCTGTCTTTTGTAATTTTTGCAATTTTGTCTCATTGGTGAGTCACTGTCGTCTTTTACACTCACTTCCTTTAAGTTTTCGAAGACTTTAAGTACATTTAAGTCTTTCATTAAGTCCCTCCTTTTACCTAGACTATAACTCTTGACTTTTCTTCAAAAAGTATATGTATCACTTTTTTGGTCTTTGTACTTTTGCTGTTGTTTAAAACTGTATATTTTAGGTAATTGCTAGATAATGCAGATAAATGTCAGATGGTTTAAATGGTTTCATTTTCCCACAAAAGTGGTGGTTGATGCTATCTTCTTAGTGGCTTGTTTCTATTGTGTGGAGCCTGTCTCCTTCCAGCTCACCTCTGATCTAGCTACTCATTTTCATTTTCTGACTCTTGGTTGTTATCTTTAAGGCAGATTTCCTGGGCTTCTCCTTGGGGCCAGCACAAGTGCAAGTGCTCAGCCAGTTTGTAGCTGTGCTTGAACACCTTTTCATGGTCTGAATTATAGCCTGCAAAACTCATATATTAAAATCCTAACAACTGGTGTTTCAGGATGCAACAATATCTGGAGATAATGTATTTAGCGGGTGTAGCAAAGTTAGAATGAGGTCATTTGGTTGGGTCCTAATCCAATATTGTTGATGTATGTAGAAGAGATTAGGACACAGACTGTTTTAGAGGGAAGACCCTGTGAACACCTGGGAGAAAGCGTCCATCTGAAAGTTGAGTGAGGCCTCAGGAGTAAAACAGTCCTGCAAAACTTTGGTCTTAAACTTCTAGACTCTAGAATTGTGAGAAAATAAAATTTTCTTGTTGAGGTATAATCTACAGTACTTTGTTATGGCAGTGCTAGAAAAATATTACATGCCTTCAGTCAGCAAGGCTTCTCAGTATAGCTTGAGAAATGTTTGCAACATTTTGGTCATTTATGTCTATTTCAGCTTTACCTTATTTTTGAAAGTTTTTTTTTCTAGCCAAAGTGAACAGCTTACAGTGACTATTTTTTCTGAATTCTCAGTGTACAGGCAGTCTTGACACTTATGTTCTTTCAGACCAGAGGGATAATAAGAGTATCATCAGGACCCATTGTGACTGTCTTATTCTCTCAATCTCTTTATTGAGTTTCTGGTTCTTTGCAAGTTGATTTCTTGGTCAAATATTATGATCACAGGTAGGCTAAGCATGCCTTGGTCTGTTTGCCATTGAGAACTTGACTGTTTTATTTTTTTTATTTCTTATTTTAATTTTATGTGTATGAGTTTATAGCTTGCATGTATATAAGTGCACCTGTGTCATGCACTGCTTGTGGAGGTCAGAAGAAGGTGTGGGATCCTCTGGAACTTGAGTTAAGGATGGTTGTTAGCTGCCATGTGGGTACTGGGATTTGAACCTGGGTTCTCTGTGAGAACAGCCAGTGCTCTTAACTGCTGACTCATCTCTTTAGTCCAAGAGAACTTGACTGTTTTAGTAATATCCTCAATGATGAAATTCCCTATGTTCTGCTTCAAATACAGGTAGCTCTCAAGCAGCAAGGCATGCTGGTCTTCACAGTCTAACTTACCAAAGTAAAGTTCTGTACACTTGAACTTCAGAGGCTGAAGGAATGGGGTGCCATGGGTAATCTCAAATTTCAACTTGAGGAGATTTAGAATCACCTAGGAGACACACTGCTGGGTGTGTCTGTGAGGGTGTTTCCAGATAGGCTTAACTGAGGGAAGATCCACCATGAAGGTGGGTGGCACCATACTGTGGGGTAGAGTCTGAGATTCTATAAAAAGAAGAAATCAAGTTGAGGGCCAGCATTTATCTCTCTCTGCTTCCTGACTATAGATGAAAAGTGTGTGTTGTATCTGTTTATTTATATTACTTTTTAGTTTTAGTTTAGATGTGTGGGTATGATAAGGGAGGTACCATTCATGTATGTGTCTCCCTTCCTTCCTTCCTTCCTTCCTTCCTTCCTTCCTTCCTTCCTTCCTTTCATTTTCTTGGGTACCACATTTTATTTTTTCCACATCAAACCCATCTACTTTCTCACAGACTCATATCTTGTTTGTTTCTACCCTTGACTTTTCACTTCTCAGGTAATGTCACTGGTTCCAGAAAGCACAAACCTAGCTCAAATTCCAGCCATGCTCTAGTGAAAGCGCTTTGTAACCTCCCACTTCCCATGCCTCAAATTCTGCAGCATTGTAATTAATAAATGAGAAACCACAGCAAACATGTTCAAACAGCTTGCTAACTATGGGAAACATGCAAAGGGTCATTCTTCATTTAGCCATCATAAAGAACTATACGAAATAGTGTGATTTTCTG